TAAGTGCAAGTATACACAATCAACAAGTAATAAAATCATAAGTAGAGTATCGTTCCCATGGAGAATTATTAGTAATAAATTTCAAGTACTAACTTTATATCAATTCAATTTTATTTAAACAATTGAAATTGAGCTATGGAATTACTAATTAAAACTAAATCTAAACTTAACAATCAAGGGTTGAATTTACTAGAGAAAAGAAGTTAAGATTACAACTTCCCCTAATGCTTCGTATAAATCCCTCCAATTCTCTTTCCAGTTAATTGATCAAAATAAGTTGTTAACTGAGAACTCAAAGTTATTTATCAAACATCTTCTGATAGTTAGATAAAATTTTCTATCCTAATTAAATTACTATATTCCTATGCAAAATAAGTTAGACTAGATTCATTAAGTTCAAACTCTCATAAAAGTTACACACGGCGTATAGGTATATTCCTATCTTATACACAAACCCAGCAATTCAATCCTAAGAAGAATTAACCAGACGTATGTCATCATATTCAGATCTAAACTTAGAATTTATCTCTCAATTTCATCTAGGTTATCACATTAATTGTTGGCCATACAATCATATATTAAACACAAAATATGACAAACAACTCATATAAGATCAATAAGAACTAGAAATGAGAGTAGATTAATTTAACTAGAAATAGGTTCCGTTGCAATCTTAATAAAAATTTATTTCATAATGTAATTGAAAAATATTATTCTCAAATTAAACAACATCTTAGAAAATCAAGAAGGGAAGAGAAAAGAATAAAAACTTAGGTGCAATCTTCAATCTTTCTCTAGCCTTTAAGTCCAATCTTCTTCGTGTAGATTCCTTCGATTCTTGTCTTCAATTTTCTTCCAATTCCTTGGTTTTTCCAGATGTTTTTAGCCCCCAAAAGTCAGAATATCTCATCCCCACACAAACCCTAGTATATATATAGCCTTAGGGTTAAATTTTGGGCCCAAAACAAGTCAAAATTCGCATCATGGATTAACACACATGCAGGGGCGCTCAAACTAGCGCAGAGGCGCTGATTTGGATAGTGTTTGGGTGCTGGGACGCCCAAATTGGCGTTGGGGCGCGCCTCCTTGTATTTTGCCTGCTCCGAACCAATTTTCGTAGAATCGTCATAACCTTTGATACAACCATAAGATTGAGCTGAAATTTTGACACTATATAGAAGACATCCAAATCTACAACTTTCATGTTTTTCACTTTTTCAGATTCGAAGTGGATCATGGTCAAAAATTCAGAAAAAGGTACTGCTACAAAATGGTACGCTATAAATACTCCATTAAAATGCCCTTTAGCATCCTCTTCAAAAATCCAACACTTAGGCTCCAATTTTGACCTTGTTTCCTCCCAAATGGTCATTCCTACAAAATAACATCAAAACACACAAAAAGAATAAAAATGAACATAAAATAATTGAAAACTTGCAATTTCATTAAGCCAAAAGCACTCAATTTGTAGGTATAAAACTCACTCATCATGCACCATCAATAATGATAATGGCTTCTAGAAAGTAGCGTCCACTTTCTCCACGACAGCCAGATGTCAATGGCATTACATGCAATTTACGCGCATTAAAGGCACTTTGCAAACAGGATGTTTGCCGACTAGCGGTCCATATAAATAGCCCCATCAGTGAGTGTTTTTTTGATCTTGAAGTTTATTTCTTTTTCTTGCTCTTGATTTCTGTTTCAAAGCTCCTTTCCTACAACATATGTCTTCCTCTATCTTCATGGCATGTACACCCAATACTTACCATGACACCCAGCAATTGCTCTACCCTGACGCTGAAAATAGTGACATCAGAAGTGAAAAGGTTCAAGCGATTGCTAATTGTTATGCCTTTCCAAGTGGGGTAGTCATTTGTGATGAAGAACGTAACTTGTATCATCTTTCCATGAGAGATTGGGTCTGCTTTTTTTAAGTCCCCTTTCAGTTGGAGCTACGATTCCCTATTCCTCCATTTGCAAGGGAAGTGCTACATTTCTTCAACTTTTGCCCTACTATGTTACTTCCAGCTGGGTGGGCTATTTTGATGGCATTCCCTATGTTGTGGGAGTGGATGCTTACTCGTCATCAAGCCACTCTTGCGAAGTTTCTCAACTTCTTTCGCCCGGTGGAGCTATTTGAATTTTATTGTTTTCCTCTAAGATGAGGTGGAGAGATCCCGATTAATAAGCTCCTTTCTGAGCTAGAAGGGTGGAGGAGGAGGTATGTTTTCTTATCAGGGACAAGCTGGGTGTTTGAGCCCCAAACGATGTAATCAGTCAAAATTTCCACAGTTTGGGGGAGGAGTGGTCACCTTGGGGAACTTCCCTGGGTTGATGAGTTTCCTCTTTATTAATCTAGTCCTACAGCGAAATCTAACTCGGCATATGGCTCTATTCTTTTGTGTTATAGGTGAGTACCAAATCTTGACTAGAGACCCAAGCTCGAGTTAATCATGTTCGAGCTCGATTACCTTTTTATTATACTGAGCTAATGCATCCCAAATTTGCTTCGGTCCCGAGCAATTGTGGGTATTTGATGTTCTTTCCTTACCACTCTACTTTTGATGTGTTCAACCAAACTTACTTCATAACTGCCTTTCTTGTTCAGTCTTGCGTACCTGACTAGCCAAAGAGATGAGATCATAGAACAGGTGGGCCAAAAGAGGTGAGCTCGGGGCCCAGGATCTTTGGCGAAGAGGACTAGACTAGCAAAGGACAGCTCAATCCCAACTTCGAGCTTGTGTGCCGAGCTTGAGGTGCCAAATATTGTTACCGAGGCATCAATGGCCTTACCAACACCGAGCTTCCCTCCTACACTTCAGGTAGTACCTGGTGCAATTGAAGCGCCGATTTTTGAACCTATGCCCATCGTTGAAGAGGTGTTGGTGTCTGAGCCAATATCTAGCACTGGACAAGCAACGGTGGGCACAATTGCATGCGATCCAATAGGAGGGCCAGTTCGGCGTGGTTCTTCCCCAATTGGAGTAGTGGGTCCCAGCTCAGATCAGGCTACTCCAAGTCCAATTGTCGACCTTGAGGGGAGCCTATTGGATGATGTGACTTTAAGCAGTCGTGTGCTTCTAAGCTAGAATTTGAGATGCCCTCCACACACTTCTCGAGGTAGGGTTCATCTTTTTCTTTGAATTCCCTTTTTTAACTTTGTAATGTTTTAATTTCCTTCTTTGGCCTCATGCGGTGACGCACATCTGTGCCCTTGGAGGAGAGGTCCATCATCTAAGGGTGGAAACTCCCCGAAGGATTGCGGAGCTCCAAGAGTCCCAACAACTGAATGTCGAGCTCCTACACTAGGGTTTAGCTGCAAAATCCTAGCTGGAAGCTATTCGTGATTATAGAGCCTGAGTTTTTTGGCAACTAATCACCACTGCCACTTTAAGATCTCTCTACGGGAATAGTTGAGATCCCAATCAGAAGAATTGGCCTCTTTCCAGCAGGACTTCGACGTCTAAGCATACAAGTTGATCTCCTTTGAAATTGACAAGGCAGTGGTGACGACACAGCTAAGGGAATCTCATGTTGTGATTGCCGACCTCAATAACTCCCTAGCTACTGAGCACCGATTGGTTGAGGAGCAATGCAAGGAAATTGAGAAGGCCACGATGGAGGTTGTCAAGGTGTTTGTAGATGGGTTCTTTAACTTCACAGATCAGACGATCGAGAAGTTTTCTGACCTTGAACTCGATCAATTTGAGCCTCGGTTTGACCTTCTTCCTGGCGACCCTTCTAATGCTGCTTCACCAGCCAACCAACCTTGATGGTTTTCTTCTTCCATTTTTTTTTTTTTGAAAGTGTAACTGTTCTTATTTATTAAAATGAAGAACACTTAACTTGTTTATTATATTGCTGATTATTTGTTGGGTTCTCCCCTTGCCCCTACTCTGAGGAGATCTTGACCTTGTTGAAGTATGTTGCTACTTTTCCCCCATGCTCAATCTTCACAATCCCGTGCTATGTAATCTAAACTGAGCTCTTTGGCTATTGCTAGCTCTTGTTGGCTATTCCTTTCCGTTGGTGTGGTGTCCTTATATCGTATTGTATGGATTCAGGTGAAGAGCAACAACTTGTTCATTATTCGTTCCCACCTAACTCCATCTAACTTCCACGTGCGCCATCTTCATTAACTTCTGCCATGATTGCATAAGTGTAACAGTCGCCTGCCTACCTTTGCTAGTTATCTCCCTCCCTATATATTGGAATCCTTTCTCTCCTACATTTCTGATTTTTTGAAGAGTCTCTCGTGCATTTTGCTTACTCTTCGATTTCATGGCTTCCTCTCCTACTCCTTTGTTCAAAAAGAGGGCTCAAGCTATGCTCGATGTAACCTGGTATTCAGTGTTTCTGCTTTTTTCCATCTTTACTGCTCTAGAGGCTAAAGAGTTTAGAAAATGGTACCAACTTCCTACTGATTTGGCTATCTGAATTCCTTCAATAGATGAGCCTTGCAACTTCCTCCTTCGCTAAGAAGTCTGTTTCTTCGAAAGCGCGTTTGAGATAGGTCTACGTTTACCCATCCATCCTGCCATTGGACGAGTTCTTGCCAACTTTGGGTTGTGTCCTTCTTGCCACTTTCTAGAGGGGTGGGGTACTCTGATCAGTTTTTTCATCTTCTGGCATTTGCAAGGTTACAGTGATTTTTCCACTGTTGTTCAGTTCCTGTATTTTTTTAGCATCGACTTTGATATGCCCCCTGCTTTAGTCACTTCACATGGAGGCGTGGTTTTTAGCTTCCTCCAATTTTCAATCCCTCTAGCCCTCTAGAGGGATGAACCCAAGTTTTTTCTTTATTTATGGGGATTTCTAGCAATCCTTTGAGGCACGGACTAAGCTTCCTCAGGTTCCTCATTTTTGGGTATATCTTTTATACATAGGTAAAGGAATAAAGGTCCTTGGGAATTTCTTTTTTGCCCGGGGGGTCTCTATGCTTAGTAGTTCTTATGTGGTCTTAACCGTGCTTGTATTGTGTAGATGGCCCCAGTTTGACCCTAGACAAGCTTAGCAGGGTTCGTCAACTCGTTCGTGCTATGCCAACTCCCTTCTCCTCGCTTGTAACAGCTCAGAATCTTTTTTGATTTGGAATTGGTTCCAATCCAGCCATCCGTCCCATTGTTGTTCCTGATCCTCCCCTCCTCCTCCTCAATATGGACTTCTCTCCAAGCAGGTCGTGTGAGGATACTGCCACCTCCACATGAAAATGCCGACAAGGCATCCTATTGTCGCAACCATCAAATTCTTCCTCCAGTGAGATAGGGGTTACAGCTATTGAGTTGTAGTTTTTGACAGGGAAGGTAAGGCTCAAGAAATGGCTTTTTGAGGTGGAGAAAGAGCGAGATGAGCTGAAGGCCGAGAATGCCCATCTGAGGGAGAAATTTTCTATTGCAACAAAATGTTGGGGGGCTTAAATCTTTTCTTGTTTTGTATCCCTCTTCCATTGTAACTACTTTGCCTATGAATACAAATTGTTTTTTTCCCTTTATTGCCTAGATTTTACTTTGTTGGTTCTAATTGTTTGGCTTTGAGCTCTTTTGAAAACTCTCGCTGAAAAAGCTCTTCTTTTGAGCTGAGAAGCTTTTCTGAGTTGATAAGCCCAGGGTCCGAGCTGAAAAGTCTAGTCAAATTTGTGTGGCTGAAGAGCTCATGGTTTTCTGAGCAAAGAAGCTCTCTTCTAAGCTTGAAAAAGCTCTTAGGCTGAAAAACCTAGTTGAATTTGCGTGGCTGAAGAACTCGCGGATTTTTGAGTTGAAAAGCTCTTAAGTTGAAAAGTCTAGTCAAATTTGCGCGGTTGAAGAGCTCGTGGCTTTTCGAGCTGAGAAGCTCTCTTATGAGCTTAAAAAAAATCTTAGGATGAAAAGCCTAGTCGAACTTTCGTGGCTGAAGAGCTCGCAGTTTTTTGATCTCAGAAGCTCTCTTTTAAGCTTGAAAAAGCTCTTAGGCTAAAAAGCCTAGTTGAATTTGCGCAGCTAAAGAGCTTGCAGCTTTCTGAGCTAAAAATCTCTTAGACTGAAAAACCTAGTCGAATTTATGCGGCTGAAGAGCTTGCGGCTTTTCGAGCTGAGAAGCTCTCTTCCGAGCTTGAAAAAGCTCCTATGCTGAAAAGCCTAGTAAAATTTCCTCATCTGAAGTGCCCACGGTTTTTCGAGCTAAGAAGCACTCTTTCGAGCTTGAAAAAACTCTTAGGCTAAAAAGCCTAGTTGAATTTGCGCAGCTGAAGAGCTCACGACTTTCCGAGCTGAAAAGCTCTTAGGTTGAAAAGCCTAGTCGAATTTGTGCAAGTTAAAAGCGTTTGAATTTTCGAGCTGAGAAACTCTCTTCTGAGCTTAAAAAAGCTCTTAGGCTAAAAAGCCTAGTCGAATTTCCATGTCTGAAAAGCTCACGGCTTTTCAAGCTGAGAAGCTCTCTTCCAAGCTTAAAAAAGCTCTTAGGCTAAAAAGCCTAGTTGAATTTGTGTGGCTTAAGAGTTTCTGGCTTTTCAAGCTAAGAAGCTCTCTTCTAAGCTAAAAAATCCTAGTTGAGGTTGCACAACTAAAGAGCTGGTGGCCTATCCGAGCTGAAAAAACTCTTTTCCAGGTTGAAAAGCTCACAGGCTTAAAAGCCTAATCAAGGCTACAAGGCTGAAGAACTCAGGACTTGTCCGAGCTGAAAAAGCTCTCTTCCAAGCTGAAAAGATCTTAGATCCCGTTAATGTAGACTGCAAATTTTCAGGACTTTGAATCTTCAAAAATTTCATTGATTTTGGAAATAAAAATTTACAACTTAAGGTTTATATTTCTCTGGATAACCCTATTGATAATATCACTTCAAATGATCTACATTCCAAGGTCGGACCATTCTTCCCTTCTTCGATCTGTAGCTCATAGTTCCTAGGTCGGACCACTCTTTTTTCAATGTAAGGTCCTTCCTAGTTTGGGCCAAGTTTCCCGTGTGAGGGATCCTTTCTAGCTGGGATCAATTTCTTAAGGACTAGGTCGCCTGGTTTGAAGCTTCTCTTCTTCACCCGCTTGTTATAGTATCTAGTAGTGCTTCTTTGGTATGAGAATTTATGTTGCAGCATTTCATCCCTTTTCTCACCCAAGAGTGATCTTTCATTTTGTTCGGAATCAAAGAGCTCAGCCCTGGCTGAGGGCAAGCTGACCTCGACTGGGGTTATTGCCTCAGTCCCGTAGGCAAGGCTAAATGGGGTCTCGCCCGTTGCAATCTGTGCTATTGTTCACTAGACCCATAACACTGTGGGAAGATAATCCACCAATTGGGACTTGGATGCCTCCAATTTTGTGTAGAAACCCTTGAATGTCGGGTTATTGAACTATTTTCTGTTGTTCGATGGGATGCCAAAATGGCAAACTATTGACGAAGTTCCTGACTTTCGGCTTGGTTATTTTGGTCAGCGACTTGGCTTCTGCCTATTTTGTGAAGTAATCCACCGTAACTATGGTGAATTTGCACTATCCAACACCAATTGGCAGGGATTCTAGGATATCTAATCCCCCATTACTGGAAAGGCTATGGACGGATGATAGGCATAAGCTACTATGGTGGGTAATATGACAAGTTGCCATGAATCTGACAGACTTGGCACTTTTTCACCATCTCCTTCACATCTTTAGCTATAATGGGCCAAAAGTACCCTTGTCGAAGTGCCTTGCTTGCCATAGTTTTGGCGCCGAAGTGGTTTTCGCAGATGCCTTCATGGATTTCTCTCAGAATGTAGTCTACCTCCATCTCAGACATATATTTCATTAGTGGAAATGAAAAACCTCTTTTATACAACTTACCTTGAATGATAGTGAATCTCGCCACTTTGGTTTTTAGCTTTGTCGTTTCCTTCAAGTAGCTTGGGAGGAGACCATTCTGTAAGAAGGATATGATGGGATCCATCCACGAGATCGTCTGCTGAACTGGCATGGCTTGACTATAATTGGGATGGACACTAGTTTTAGACAAGATCTCGATGGGAAATTTTCCATGTAAGTCTTGGTAGGTAGCAAATGCTAACTTAACCAGTGCATCTGCCCAAGTGTTAGCATCTCAAGACACCTGGACTAGCTCAGCAGGCTCCACACCTTCATCATATAGAGGGTCATCTTATCATTCTTGGCAGCATATTCTTCGTCGACTTGTCTGACCACCAACTGGAAGCCATTGTGGATCATGATATGTTGTGCGTCCATCGACAAGGCCAAGTTTAGGCTAGCTATAAGGGCCTCATACTCTGCCTCGTTATTGGAGGCCTGAAAGTTGATTCTTAACGCATATTCTAGATCGTATCCCTTAGGCGAGGTTAGAATCAGACCAACTCCACTCCCTTGCGCATTTGAGGCACCATCTACGTACAACTTCCAAGTTGGGATACCAGAAACACAATCTAGGTTTTTTGTACTCTCCTTGAGTGGTGGGGTGAATTCGGCTGTAAAATTGACTAACACCTGCCCCTTGATTGTCGTTCTAGGCTTGAATCTGATGTCAAACTTGCTAAGTTCCATCGCCCACTTGAATAGCCTTCCAGATGCCTCTAGCTTGTGCAGGTCCTACCTCATTGGATGATCTGTTGGAATCTCAATGGTGTGTGCTTGAAATTAAGGCCTTAATCTCCTAGCTGCCACTAGAAGGGCTAGGACGAGTTTCTCCATCTTTGGATATCTCTCCTCGGCCTCTCTAAGAGCTTTGCTGCAAAAGTAAACTGGTTGATGAGCCTTCCGCTTGTCCTTCACTAGAGTGGCACTGACTGAGAAGTCAGATATAGCAAGGTAAAGAGTTAAGACTTCTTCTTCTTGAGGGCTCACTAACACAGGTGGTGACGCTAGATAGGTCTTAAGAGCTTGGAAAGCCCCTTCATACTTCTCGTCCCATTGAAAAGAAGTCTTCGGAACCTTGAAGAATGGTTGGCACTTTTCGTTGGAACTTGAGACAAACCGATTAAGTACCGCTATCCTTTCGGTGAGGCGTTGTACCTCTCAGGTGTTGATGGGGGACTTCATTTCCAGAAGGGCTTTCACCTTTTTGGGTTTTGCTTTAATACCTTGACTATAGACTATGAAGCCCATAAACTTTCCTATCATGACCCCAAAAGCACATTTGGTCGAGTTTAGCTTTAATACCTCCCTAAGGTGCTGAATATGGAGCTTGAACTTGAGTGATTTGACGAGCATGTCGTCGATGTACACCTCCATCTTCAACCTGAGCTTTTCATGAAACATTTTATTGACCAGTCCCTGGTAGGTGGCCCGGCATTCTTTAATCCAAAAGGCATGACTTGGTAGCAGAAAATTCCTTGTTTAGCAATGAATGAAGTTTTTTCCTGGTTGTTTGAATCCATTTTGATCTGATTGTAGCCTGAGAAGGCATCCACGAAGCTGAGGAGCTCTTGCCCTGCCATGGCATCAACTATCAAATCAATCTGGGGTAGGGGAAAGCTATCCTTGGGGCATGCACAGTTGAGGTCAGTAAAATAGATACACAAGCGTCATTTCGCATTCACTTTCTTGACTAGTACAACATTGGCCAACCAGGTCGGATAATCAACCTCCCTGATGGCCTTTGCTCACAACAACTTGGCCACCTCCTCGTTGATTGCATCAAACCATCACGACAGCTTTTTAGGTAGAATATTCATAGATTTTTTCAGTGTCAAAAATAACATAATCATTCCCTAATATCTGTTTAATATTATAGTTAATAAATTGAATTCTCAACTTATAAAAGTACAATATCGATCAAGATTTATCCAATTTTTATATACTTTGATCAAACGGTATAAATTCATCCTAAAATATATTTTTACTTAAAAACATTATTCTTTATGCACGACACTTAATATCAGGCAACTCAATCAGCTCCCTATAGATAGGGAGTTAAAAAAGGCTAACACATGTATCTATGTCAAGGACACTGAAGAGGATGAGTAGGATAAGTGGATGAGGTGGAATGGAAAGAAATCGAGTTGTTGATTGATTGAAGGGACCAACCAATTGGACAGAAGGTAGCTGGAGGGGTAAATTCTCTCACCAACTAGGGTTTCCATCTTAGACCAGATAGTAATAAATGAATGTCCCATAGAAGACAAGTAATGCAGATATTTATAGCACAGTGTCCAGGTAGGTCAAACTGTCCACCACGGCCCTTTAAAATCTACACCAAGTTGAAACTGTGCGGCAATACCAGTGGCTCACCACAAGCCACGTGTTCGAATATTAATTATGCGAATCTAATGTTT